AAATGGTTGCAGCAGTACATCAACAGGGAACTGCCAGAAATTCAACCTGGATTCATAAGAGGATGTGGAACATGGAATACTATTGCTGATGTCAGATGGTTCTTGGCTGAAAGCAGAGAATACCACAAAGATGTTTACCTGTGTTTTATTGACTATGCAAAGGCATTTGTCTGTGTGGATCTTAACAAATTATGGATAACATTGTGAAGAATGGGAATTCCAGAACACTTAGTTGTGCTCATGCAGAACCTGTGCATAGACCAAGAGGCAGTTGTTCAAACAGAACAAGGGGATACTACATGGTTTAAAATCAGGAAAGGTAGTGTCAGTGTTGTGGCCTTTCACTGTACTTGTTCAATCTGTATGCTGAGCAAATAATCTGAGAAGCTGGACTACATGAAGACGAACATAGCCTCAGGATTGGTGGAAGACTCGTTAACAACCTGCATTATGCTGATGATACAACCTTGCTTGCTGAAAGGGAAGAGGACTTGAAGCACTTACCGATAAAGATCAAAGTCTACAACCTTCAGTATGGATTACACCTCGACATAAAGAAAACAAAAATCCTCACAACTGGACCAGTAAGCAACATGATGACAAATGGAGAAAATATTGAAGTTGTGAAAGATTTCATTTTATTTAGATCCACAATCAACACCCATGGAAGCAGCAGTCGAGAAATCAAACAACGCATTGCATTGGGCAAATCTGTTGCAAAAGACTTCTTTAAAGTGTTAAAAAGCAAAGCTGTCACTTTGAGGACTAAGGTGTGCCTGACCCAAGCCATTTGTATGTATTTCAAAATTGTAAGTATTTCAATCACCTCATATGCATGTAAAAGCTGAACAATGAATAAGAAGGACTGAATAATTGATGCCTTTGAATTATGGTGTTACAAAGAATGTTGAATATACCATGGACTGCCAGAAGAATGAACAAGTCTGTCTTGGAAGTACAGCCAGAGTGTTCCTTGGAAGCAACGATAGTGAGACTTTTTCTTGTATTTTGGACTTGTTATCAGGAAGGACCATTCCCTGGAGAAGGACGTTATGCTTGGTAAAGTAGAGAGTCAGTGAAAAAGAGGAAGACCCTCAACGAGATGAATTGATACAGTGGCTGCAACAATGGGCTCAAACATAGCAATGATTGTGAGGATGGCGAAGGACCAGGCAATGTTTTGTTCTGTTGTACATAGGGTCGCTATGAGTCAGAATTGACTGGACAACACCTGACCACAAGCAACTGCTCTACCAAGCATGATGTCCTTCTGCAGTGATTGGTCCCTCCTGATGATGTGTCCAAAGTAAACAAGACAAATACCCATCGCTGCTTCTAAAAGGCTTTCTGCTTGTACTTCCTCTAAGACTGATTTGTTTGTTCTTCTGGTAGTCCGTGGTTTATGTCCTAGTTACCTAGTGCTGCTGTTACCTAGTGCTGCTATAACAGAAAATACTACATGTGGATAACTTTAACAAACAGAAATTTATTCTTTTACACTTGAGGAGGCTAGAAGTCCAAATTCAGAGCTCCCCCTCCATGGGAAAGCTTTCTTTCTGTCTGCTCTAGGGAAAGTCTTGTCATCAGTCTTCCCTGGTCTAGGAGCTTTTCAGCACAGGGACCCCACCACCTCCAAAGGACGTGCTCTGCTCCTGGCTCTTCTTGCTTGGTGGTAATGAGATCCCTCTCTCTGCTTGTTTCTCTCTTTTATATCTCAAAAGAGATTGACTCAAAATACAACCAAATTTTGCACATTGTGTCCTGCCTCATTAACATCAGAGGGTTAGGATTTACAACACATAGGATAATCACATAAGATCAGAAAATGGAGGACAATCACACAAAACTGGGAATCATGGCTTAGCCAAGTTGACACACATTTTTTGGGGGCACAATTCAACCCATAACAGTATATATTCAATATTCTTCGCCACCACTACAATTCGAATGTTCTTCTTCGGTCTTCCTTGTTCATTGTCTAGCTTTCATGTGCATATGAAGTAGTTGAAAATATGTGGCTTGGGTCAGGTACACCTTAGTTATCAAAGTGATGTCTTTGCTTTTTAAAATTTTAAAGAGGTCTTTTGCCACAGATTTGCCACAATGCAAATCTTTGAATTAAACACTTGGAATTTTGTCTTAGGAGAGCCCAGGTAAACCTCATCTGATAGACTAGCGAGGACCCCTGTATCAGAGAGAGGCACCTGGAACATCAGGTTAGAAAGATCTGGGTGGGACAGGAGAATGCTTGAGATGGGCAGCAGAGTGCTGCTGAGGTTCTTTGAAATAACTTCTGGGCCATTTGCTCTTCCATCCAGGTCCAAGATCCTTCTCCAGGGATCCTACTGTGTTACTTTCTCTTCGTCCTCCAGTTTCCAGTTTCTTTCAGAAGCCAAATGAGGACTGTGGCTTGTGCCTTAGTTTCTTTACACCAATTCAGTAACTCATTTTAGACCTACAGAAGGGACTGGAGAATGTCATATAAATGAACCAAAGATAGCCTCTGTGCATTGGCCCCAGATTGTTGACTTCATAGCAAGCTGAGGCCCATTAGCCCAAAAAAGCCCACCTGTGCCACGCTCAAATTTGTATACATCCAATTGTTTCAGAAATAGCCCAAATAAGCAGATTTTTAAGCCACTTTTCCATAGAACGAGTAGCCTGCTTTACTTACCCAATGAAACTGTGCCCCATATCGGCCAGCCCTAGATAAGATAAAGCCTTGTGGTTATGAGGACCCCCAGCTGCATCTGTCCTTCCGAGCTCTTTGACACAGAGACTCCCCATCTTGCTGCAAAGAGGACGTTGTGAAGGTGTACATAAGCCCCCCTCCTTCTCTTCCCTGGGTTTTCATGCCTTTTTTCCCTTTTGGTGGCTACATGCACAACTATCCTCTGGAAGCCCTCCTGCTGTGGGGACCACCCCCTGCATGCAGCTGTCAATGTGTTACCCAGTAAACAGCTTACTGTGCAACACTGCTATCTTTTTCATATCTGTTTCCTTCATCAGCCCCGAATTCCCTCAGACTCACTGCAGAGGATATCAAGGCTTAGACATACAGCCCAAACTCTCATCGGGTAAACAATGTGGTTTAAATAATGTTTCCTTGAGCCATAAAAACAAAAAACCCAAACCAGTTGCTGTTGACTCAGTTCCAACTCATGGCAGCCCCATGTGTGCAGAGTAGAACTGTGCTGCATAGGGTTTTCAAGGCTGTGACCTTTCAGAAAAAGATCACCAGGTCTTTTCTTCTGAGGCACCTCTGGGTGGGTTCAAACCTCCAACCTTTGGTTAGTAGCGGAGCACTTACCAGTTTGCACCAAATTTGATCCATAGGAGATTTTTTTATTACTGCTCCCAAAATAGCAAGCAGAGCCCTTCAAGATATGATGCCAAAGTACTTTCTTTATCTCTCTCTGCTTCTCCCAAATGTGCTGTTTAACCTAACTACACCCTCTTCCCATAATATGCAACGCTTTTATTCCTTCAAACCGCGGTAGTTACTGTTCCTTCTTTTGTGGATGTTGTTATCCTATGATCCATCTGGGCAGACTACTGTTCATTAAGAATTTGTTTATGTTACCACCATGATACCTCCCCAACCTTCCCTGCTTGTCTTCTATAACTTAAACCTATTACAGTTTACTGTATTATACTTAGGAGCCTGGATGGCCCAAGTGGTTTGTGATCAGCTGCTGACCTAGAGTTTGACAGTTCAAACCCACCCAGTGGCTCCATGGAAGAAAGGCCTGGTGATCTGCTTCCACAAAGATTACAGCTAAGAAAACCCTATGGAGCACTTTTACTCTAACATATGGGGTCACCATGAGTCAGGGCTGACTTGACAGGAGCTAACAGCAGTAGCAACATATTATAGCTATTATGCTATAACAATTACTTACTTATCTCCCCCAATAGTCTGAGTTACGAAAAGACCTTATCTAAATCACTCTGTATCTCTAGTTTTACGTGCTTCATCCATAGTATATGTATAAATGTCTGAGTGAATAAATAGCTCTGGATAATTACTCCAATGACTAGCATTGGATTAAATCCACTCCCATTACCTGCTTCCAAGGACTTCATTATTTGCCATGCCATGGCTTCTCTTACTAAGGGTCCCCTGTCTTGTAAGGATTCCAGGAAGTGCAGGGCCAGAGCATCTGCATTTACATAGCACTAATTTAACATCCTTTAAAACTGTGTTTAAAAGAATTTCCATTCATTAGAAGGTATCTACTAAATGGTGGTGGTGGTTGCCATTGAGTCAATTCTGACTGATGGCAACCCCATGTGTGTAGAGTAGAACTGCTCCACACGGTTTTCAAGGCTGTGACCTTTCGGAAGCAGACCATCAAGCCTGTCTTCCGAGGTACTTCTGAGTGGGTTTGAACAGCCAGCTTTTCAGCTAGTAGTCAAACACTTAACTGTGCCACTCAGAGGCAGTGACAGTGATGTACTCATGGAGGCTAGTTTATTCAGCAAAAGAAACCAGCCCACATAAGGTGATAGTCGAGAAACACTATATTTTGTACAATGAAAATAAACCTAAATGTATATAACATAAATATTCAAGATGGGAGGAAGACTGTATAACTTAAAATCAACTTGGGCAAAGTGAAACTGGAGTTGCCTATTCTGGAATGCTATAGCATCCGTTTACTAGAATGGGAGCCTTTGGTTTAATTCCACTGATAAAGCAAGGGATGTCTTCCACTGGGGTCCCTAGGGGTGCAAATGGTTAACATGCTTGGCTGCTAACCAAAAGACTGGAGATTTGAGTCTACCCAGAGGCACCTCAGAAGAAAGGTCTGGCCATCTACTTTTGAAAAACCAGGTGTTGAAAACCCTATGGAGCACAATTCTACTCTGACACATAGAGTCCATTCAACAGCCACGAGTAACTACTCCCTTCTGGGGTGAAGCTCGCTGTAGGGCTGACAGAGGCTATGTCATTAGGTCTGTGCCCAAAGTCTTATGTTCACTTATCCTGCTCACAGGCAGCAGAGAAACTCTTCAAGAAGGAGAAGTTATGTCTTCTGCTAGAAGAACTCGGTGGGATTGATAAAATTGAGGCTTTACAACTTCATGAGAACCGTCAGATTGGCCAGACTGCTTTGAACATTATCGAGAGCCACTTTTTTGAGGTAAACGACTTTGCAGTGGAAAGGGGTGCCCACATCTCCTGGTGGGCTGATCAGCAGTGATCCCCTGCCCATCTACCCAGTGCCTACGCTGCAGCGGTGAAGCAGATGACCAGACAGGTGGGCTTCTTACGATCCATCCTCCCAACTTAGGCCTGTGTTTCTCCCTGCTGCAGGTTGTATATGAGGCATTGGTGGGTCAGACGTAGAATTCTTGCCTTCAGTGTGGGAGGTTTGGTTTTGGTTTCTGCCCAGTTTTGCACGGGGTCGCTATGAGTCTAGGGTCGACTCATCAGTAGGTAATAACAACAACAAAAGCCATGTTGTGTGGGCTGCCTTTGAGTACTGGTTTCCCGGCCCCTTGGAGTTTTCTAGTCCCAAAGGAGCTTGTCCTGCTGTCGCTGGTTGAGAACTTTGCTTTACTTGGCTCGTTTTTTACAAAAGCAGGAAGGGAGAAAGAAGAGGAGGAGAAGATAGGATGCCAACATGACCTCTTACCAAAAAATACAAACAAGGCAGGCTGAACTTTTGAAAAACCATTTGGCTGCTTACTTATAGTTATTATACTGTAGGAAACCCTGGTGGTGTAGTGGTTAAGTGCTACAGCTGCTAACCAAAAGGTCAGCAGTTCAAATCCACCAGGTGCTCCTTGGAAACCCTATGGGGCAGTTCTACTCTGTCCTATAAGTTTGCTATGAGTCGGAACCAACTCAGTGGCAATGGGTTTTTTTTTTTTTTTTTAAAATTTATTATACTATAACAATTATTTACTTATCTCCCCCAATAGCCTGAGCTATGAAAAGACCTTATCTAAATCTCTGTGTCGCTAGTTCTTGTGCTTCACCCAGAGTATATTTACATGTCTGAGTGGATGGATAGCCCTGGGTGGTTTGGCCTTTCTAGAGTGCAGTGTTTGGAGATGAGCTCCACAAACAGTTTCTTTCCTGTTTTCTACAAGAGCAGGGACAGGGAATAATGATCAGATGGCTTTCGACATTTTTCACATGAGGAAGATGAGCTCAAAGTCCTTAACTGGCCAGGTAAACACGAGGCTAGGGGTTTACAGAGAGAGTGACACTTCTGCTCGGTGTCAAGCTTGAATCATCAGCAAGATCCTGGGCCATAAACAGGTTAGTGGTTGCTGCTAACTGGAGACCGCTAATCCTGGTTTAAGGAGCCCTGGTGACACAATGGTTAAGCACTCGGCTGCTAACCGAAGTTCGGTCATTTGAATCCAGTAGCCGTTTAGTGGGAGAAAGATGTGGCAGTAGCCTTGGAAATCCTGCGGGGCAGTTCTGTCACATAGGGTCACTATGAGTCAGAATCGACAACGGCAATGCGTAATCTTGGTTTGGGAGGGACAATAGCAGTTCAGGGGTAGAATTCTTGCCTTCCACATGGGTTCAATTCCTAGCCAATGTATCTCAAGCACAGCTACCACCCATCTGTCAGTGGAGGCTGGTGTGTTGCTATGATGCTGAACAGGTTTCAGTGGAGCTTCTAGAGTAAGATAGACTAGGAAGAAAGACCTGGTGATCTACTTCTGAAAACTCAGCCAATGAAATCCCTATGGATCACAATAGTCTGATCCCATTGTGCATGGGGTTGCCATGAGTCGGGGGCCAACTCCATGGCAGCTAACAACAACAATCTTGGTTTGCATTCCCTGGGTGGTGTAAATGGTTAATGCGTTCAGCTGCTAACTGAAAGACTGGAGGTTTGAGTTCACTCAGAGGTGCCTCGGAAGAAAGGCCTGGCAATCTACTTCCGAAAAATCAGCCATTGAAGACCCTACAGAGTACAGTACAGACAAGTATGGGGTCACCATGAGTTGGAGTCAGATGGCAATTGGATTTTTAAACTTGGTTTGTGCCCAAGAGGGTATTCTCAAGGCAGAGAAGACCCAGAACAGCAGTGAGCATCTTCTGGGTTAAAGGCATCTGTGAAAGCCTCGTAAGTAGGAAACTCATCCTTTAAAAGGGCTCAGATCCCTAGGACTCATCCAAAGGCTCCACATCAAAGACTTCTGATCTACAAGTAACAGCTCCACTTTCATTCAGTATGAGGATCGTGTTCTCTGTCTAAAAACTGCATTTATAGTCCATCCTGAGAAGTATTTCAATGCTTCCCTCTTTCAACCCCTCCTTGGAGGAAGCCTTGAGACAGATAGAGAGCAAAGTCTAATCTTCAGCAGAGATTAAGGTGTCAAGCCCGGGTTAATGCATTAATCACCATGTTGAAGAGCCTGAGGGTGTAACAGTGTCTCTTCTTCTCTGAAGGAAGAAGATCGACTAATCCTCCCAGTCTAGGACCAGGAAGACGATCTCTTCAAGCGTGTGACCAAAAAACCCTAAAGCCCCACAACTTCTAAGCCAACCCTCAAACCCTAAACAGTAACTCATTTATTAAGTAGCACTCCTATTTCTTAGCACATCACAGGTGTAAAGCTTTTTAAACTAAATAAAGTTTTGGACACTTTTCACTTCCATCTACCAAAAGTTCAATTAAAACACTTGTGTCTTAAAGTCATGTAGAATTAATCTCTTAAGAACATTTGGTTTATGTTTAAGGACCTTAGAGTAAGATAACATCCTCCAAACAGTGGAATGGTATCACTATCTAGGCCAGCGGTGACTTGAAGATACATCATTGGTTCTCAACGCTGTGGGGACAGTGTTATGGTTTAGCTTTCTTTTCCTTTGGCAATTTTCCTAACAATGACAAGTTTTAATATGATGATCCTTCCTAGAAACTAAAAATCCATCTTATCCTTCCTGCATGGAAAAATCAAATCCCGCTTGTCTGACACCAAACTGTAAAGTTCAATTGCAATCTGTTATTTCTATTCTGTTCCTCTCTGTTCCATTTCTGTACTGACACCAACTGCAAATACAGCACTTCTGCCTTGGACCCTAACCACCCAGAGCAAGGTCACAGCTCACAAGTTAAAGGGCCCAATCCTCCAGACTGCCAAGTCAACACAAGACTTCAGATGCTAGCCACAAGCTTGGGAATCCCAAGATGCCTTCATTTCTGACTTGTTGGCTATAAATTTGGGGTTTTCCCCTAGACCTAAGCTCAGGTGTCCTCAGGGCTCTTCTCACTTCTGACTTGCTACAAATTCAGAGGTTCCCTTTACCCCCTTAGGATACCAGCCATAAGCTCGCGTCCCTAGGGTCCCTCTCAGTTCTGACCTGCTGGATCTCACTACTCCCTTGGGTTCGATAATTTGCTAGAACAACTGACAGCACTCAGGAGAGCACTATGTCTATGATTACAGTTTTTTTTTAATAGCAAAAAGGATACAGGTGAAGAGACACACAGAGCGAAGTCTAGGAGGGTGCCTAATGTGAAGCTGCCATGTCCCAAAAAGGGACACTCCACTCTCGTACGTGTATCAGTGCCTTTCACCAACAGGGAAGTCCTGGGAACAGATACAGCCTTTATTGGGACTTCATTACGTAAGCACGATTGACTGAATCATGTACCCTTCCCCTGAGAAGTTCCCAGGTGATGCTGTTGCTTCTGGTCCAGGGACCACACTTTGGTCGAGGTGGAGGTCAGCAAACTATGACCTATGAGACAAATTCGGCTCACAGCCTGTTTTTGTAAATAAAGTTTTATTGGAACATAGACATAATTTGTTTTTCTATTATCTCTGTATTGTAGCATTTTGCGCTACAATGGTAGAATTGAGTAGATGGAAACCAGATGCCCTGCAAAGCTGAAAATATTTACTATCTGGTCCTTTACAACAAATATTTGCTGACCCCTGGTCTAGGAGATCAATCCACCATTGTCTCTACCTTCAGCATTGGTTACTTAGGTGTTTCAACTTTTAGAAAGATTTTTTATCGTTTAAACATGAAATGTGGGCAGCTAAAAAGGTAAATGATTTAACTGTTCAGATGTGACCATGAAGGGTCAGTGATTCATGTTTTAATCTGTTATTTCCAGCCTCAAGTTATTTTCAGTTGTCTATGATAGAGGAGAAGGAGCCCTGGTGGCGCAGTGTTTAAGTATTCGGCTGTTAACTGGAAGGTTGGCGATTTGAACCCACCAGCTGCTCTGCAAGAGAAAGGTGTGGCAGTCTGCTTCTGTAAAGATTTACAGCCTTGGAAACCCTATGGGCAGTTCTACTCTATCCTATAGGGTCATGGCAATGAGTTTGGTTTTTTTTTTAATTGTAATGATAGAGGCAATAGTGTAGATGAGATCAGCAGGACTCTACTACTGAAATTCATGAAGAACAATTGAGTTTAGAAAGCTTACCTGTGTTACCCTAAGCAGGCCAGGGGAAAGGGAAAGCCTTTTAACAGATTCAAAGATTTGCACATAACTACTAAACTGCAGAGGGTTGGGGGAGTATATTACACTGAGTCTGATTCTTGGGAATCTGATCTTCTCTCTGAGGGGAAGGACTGATAAGAGCTTGGACAAGTTCTTACAGCTAGTTATGTATCAGAGCAATATCTTAATTCCCACTTAGTATTTCTGGAAGTTACTTCCCTGGCTTAAAAGAATAGGCTTATCGACTTCAGACTATCTTTTGATACCATTAATGCCTGCTAAAGAGTTAATTTACATACTACTATTCCTTTTCCCCACCCCTATAGTGTTTTAATAGATGTACTATGTTTTCATCTCTTATTGGTTAACCTTTGTACTTTTAAACAACATACTTTTTCCTAATTTCTTGTTCCATCAACTTTAATTAGTATTTTACTTCATTTTTGTGGTACATTGATAGCAAAAATACTTTGAGGCTGGAAATCATCTCTTTCAAGCAACTCAGAGGTCTTAAAAATGGACCCATAGAGAAGGACACTTAATCTTAAAGGTACTTCTAGACCCAGTACCAAGCAGTCACATTATAACTATGTATATACCATTTTATTTTCCATTGGAATACACCTCATAGAGTCCAGAGCCTTGTTGAAGTCTAGAGTGGATTGTAAGTTATCTTTGACAATATAAAAGTAAAGTAAAATAGCATCTGAGGGAAGTGAGGATGAAGAAAGGTAGAGAAGAAGGGTGCTGAATCGGTTATTATCGAGTGAAAA